CATTCATGCTGTACATTTATATATCCCTTATGTCAAATACAGAAGGGGAAATAACTCTCATATGGAGTTTACGTATTGCTTCGGTCAAAATTGGACAAAACATCCTGAGGATAAAACGAGCAATTTGGTACAATAGTTTGTCGCTTTCTTTTACGGTTACTGAGGAGATGCAAACACAAGGAAAACAGTGTTCGGGGAGATAACTCCTACAAAGAAAAGTATTCGGTTAAGCAGAGTCAATTTCAAAGGCGCATAAACTGTTCGATATCATATACGAAACATCTAAGCGACATCTTGCGAAACAAAAATTTATCGCAAGAACAAAATTTGGCGGAAGAAAAAAAAAATAAAAAACCAATTGTTCAAAGAACAATTGATGGTCTTATCACATCAATTTTCTAAATAATTGATGAGAAGCTAATTCTGGTTTACTCAAAGCTACTATTGGCGTCCAATAATAGGTTTCTTCATACTGATTCAATAAACATATGGTTTCTATAGACTTTTGCCTGAAATAAGGGAGATGATTGTCAACTTACGGTTTAGACAATGTCACTTCCGGTCTCATATGATAGCTTTATTTACACTGATTCCAAAAATATATGGTTTATATATACTTTTGCCTGTAAAAAGGGAAATAATTGGCTACTTCCGGTTTAGAAAATGTCACTTTCGGTCTCATATGATAGATTTATTTACACTGATTCCAAAAATATATGGTTTATATATACTTTTGCCTGTAAAAAGGGAGATAATTGGCTACTTTCGGTTTAGAATATGTCACTTTCGGTCTCATATGATAGCTTTATTTACACTGATTCCAAAAATATATGGTTTATATATACTTATGCTTGTAATAAGGGAGATAATATGCTACTTCCGGTTTATAAAATATCACTTCCGGTCTCAAATGATAGATTAATGTATGACCATTCAAAAAATATATGGTTTCTATGTACTTCTACATGAAATAAGTGCAAAAATGACTACTTCCGGTTCACTCAAGGTCACTTCCGGTTGTCATTTTTCAAGGTCATATGTCACCCAACATTTTGCAAAAGATCTTATGGCTTTATCATATACCAAGTTGGAGTAATATTCAATTAACCTTAAATTGAATCATTTCAGGGACACTAAATGATATAAGATATCATTGGATTGTTTCAGACCAAATGTATCATATCTTAATCACAATTAAGCAAACATTTGCACTAGTTCTTTAATTTGTAATTTTAAAAGTGACAGAGAAGATCAAATAACAAGGAAAAGTCAAAATTTAGAATATGACCTTGACCTTTGACCTTGGCCTCAATTTCATTGAAATGAACAAAGGAACTCAAATCAATATACCTTAGGTCTCTATCACTTACCATTCATGCTATACATTTATATATCCCTTATGTCAAATACAGAAGGGGAAATAACTCTCATATGGAGTTTACGTATCGCTTCGGTCAAAATTATTCTTAAGATCCTGAGGATATAACGAGCAAATTGGTGAAATAATTTTGTCGTAATCTTTTATGGTTGCGAAGGAGATGCGCAAACAAGAAAAAACAGTGTTTGGGGAGATAACTCTTATAATAAGAAGTATTCGGTTAAACAGGGTAGGTTTCAAAGTCGCAATAATTGTTCGATATCATATGCAAAAAATCTTAGCGACATCTAACGAAACCACCAAACACTGGCGAAAGAAAAAAAAAATTAAAAACCCCAATTGTTCAGAGAACAATTGAAGGTCTTTCCACATTTCATTTCTAGATAACTGATGAGAAGCTACTTTTGGTTTACTCAAAGTTACTATTGGCGTCCAATCATAGGTTTCTTCATACTGATTCAAAAAATATATGGTTTCTTTATACTTTTGATTTAAATATGGGAGATAGTTTGCTACTTCCGGTTAAGAAAATGTCATTTCCAAATGGTAGCTTTCTTTGCACTGATTCTAAAAATATATGGTTTTATATACTTTTGTCTTAAACATTTGAGATAATTTGCTACTTCCGGTTAAGAAAATGTCATTTCCTGTTTCATAAGATAGCTTACTTTCTACTGATTCCGAAAATGTATGGTTTCTTTATACTTTTCTTTCAAATAAAGGAGATTATTAGCTACTTCCTGTTTACATAAGTCGACTTCCGGTGTCATTTTAAGGTAATGGTATGCTGATTTTAAAAAATATGTATTTTATAAGTATTATTTTCTTGAATAAGTGCAAAAATAGCTACTTTCGGTTTGCATAAGGTCACTTCCGGTTGATATTTTTCAAGGTTATGTGTCATCCAACCCTTTGCAAAAGACACTATGCCTTTATCATGTACCAGAATGAAGTTAATTTCGATTTACCTCTAATTCTAACATTTAAGGGGCAATAACTCCATTCAGATGTCATCAGATCGCTTCTTGCTAAACGTAACATTTGTTTGTCTCAACAACCCAGACATTTAGCATCAGTTCTTTTATATGTAGCTTTTATAGTGTAAGATAGGATGCACACACAAGCAAAGGGGAAAATTCGGAAAATGACCTGACCTTTTACCTTGACACCGTTTTCTTGTTGGTATACTAAGGACCTCAAATCAAGATACCCTAAATCTCTATCACTTACGGTTAATGAGTTACATTTATATATCACTTATGTCAAATACAAAAGGGGAAATAACTCCCATATGGAGTCTCAGTATTGCTTTGGTTAAAATTGACCGAAGCATCCTGAAGATTTAACGAGCTATTTGGTAAAATAATTTTGTCATAATCTCTTACGGTTGCGAAGAAGTAGTGCACACAAGAAAAACAGTGACGTTCCAATTAAAACATTTGGAAATCCAATTAACAAAGTTTAAAGAGCACAGAAAGAAGCCAACTAATCATATTGGTCATATCACTTATTTGGAGAATTTTTCCTTGCTGATCATTTTTGCATTTATGTATGTATAACGGTTTAAATGTTAAAACCAAAAACGTGAGAAAAGAAATTGTATAAATACATATAAACTTTAAGATAATTGCTGACAGGTTTGGTTGCAGTTTTTGTACAAAAAAAATAAAATAAAAGACGACGAAGAACAAAGAACGCACTGTAATGACAAAACTTCACTGATAAAATGTTTTTTTTTATATCAACAAATTGTTTATATACATACATTAGCTACGTTTTTGATATCTACCTGTAATTCCATGTCTTATTAATTACAAAAACTATAAAAAATGAAATGTGTACATATCCTTAAATTTTTAAAGCAAATTTTACTTTTGTAACATCAATACAATATTTTAGCACTACTGATGTATATAGATTATTCTTTACAAACATTTTAAAACATAAAATTTTCATATGGTCTTATATACACTCAATGGCGGAAAATGTTATCAGCGATTTATTTATATTTAAAACCAGATAACAGTGCAAATAAACCTGTTCTCTTAGTAAACAGTAAAATATCAAAAATACAATACATGTCTATTCATACATGATATTCATTTCGATCTTACATGTTTGCATATATCATCACTAAAATCAATAGATTAAACCAATGTCTTGAGCTCCCTATAAAATATTGAATGAATTAAATTAAATAAGTTCTGACATGTCAACAATAGTATGAATGTTAAGAAGGTAAAATTAAAACAAAAGTTGTCATGAATATTTAAATTATTGACTATTTTTGGTAGATTAACCAATAACATTTACTGGTATATAAGTGGTCATGCGCTACCATTCATCGTTGTGTTTGAACTGGTCGGGCGCACTACTTAGCATATACTGTTCCCGCCAATATAATTGTTTGTAAATAATACTCATATTTTGCTATCTGCATAATTGACAAATCCAATGAATGACTTGCAATGCATGATGGACTACTATGTGTTTACAATTTACGGAGAACACGTGTTTTTATAATGAAAACGCTTTATTTTTTTATAAGAATTTATTTACAGACCAGGATATATGTTTTAGTTCTTTTTTCAGATTAAACAATATTTTTTTCTGTTCTAAAAAAAAGAGTGTTTGAAATACTTGAACCATGTAGCCACTTATGTCATGGATGAATAGACAACGATTTCCTGGGCTTTAAAGTTATCTCGTAAAATAGGGAAACCGATATAATATCAGTAATATACACTCTTAATCATTTATTTGGTACAGAATAGATTCTATGATCTTTAACTTACTTTAATTTGTAACAGCAAAGGTCAATAAAACTCAATACAGGGGCAAATTGGTAAAAAAAAGAGCTAAATGATTCACACCCTCAGAGATCATCAGAAAATGTGTCTAGTCTTACCACGTGAAAAGAAAAAATTACACTATAATTGTTTAATTATTAATAGTTATTGTCTCAGTGGTTTTTTAATTAGTGTCACAGTGGACTCCGACTGAGCATATACCAGATTTACGTTAATGACAAATAACAGACAGTTATGGCACTTTTATAGATATTCTTAGATTTTCTCAGATAAACTAGGATTATCTCACTATATTACATTAAGCTCAGATAAACCGGGATTATCTCGAAACATTTCAGATAATCCCGGTTTTTCTCAGAATTTTCAGATAAACAGGTAATTAAGTAATAAATTTTTAAAGTGGTTCAGGCGTGTCATAGACAGTGACTTGGGACCACTTTTATTAACAGCAAATGCAAATGTATTTCAAGATATACAAATCTTGCAACAGATTCGGAAAACAAATACACTCATTCATAACTCAAATACAATATTTCAAGTAAAATAGAGGCCAAGAACTGACGGACTAATAAATTCGACAAAGCACTACAAAATTGAGCCGTGGACTATTACTAATAATGCAAATTTATAGCTGCAGGTCAGTAATTTAGACCTTTACAAGAGAACTATGTAAAAAGTACTACAAAGCCGCATCGAATCTTATCATAGATTTTGATAAAGATAACATATATATTGATCCGTATAACTTTAACTGAATGAAATTCTATCGGGAAACTGTGAATTAGACTTTTCAAATAACAAAATTAACATACCTCTAAATAATGTTTCAACTTTAAAGCGTACGCTTAGTAAGCCGGTTAACCAGTTCATGAAATAAAAAACAACAATATATATTTATAAGGCGTAGTAATTTTCCCGCGTTATTTTAGTTGACGCATTCATGTGTGTAGTGACGTGTATTAGAACTGTCGTTAGTCTCAGTCAAACGTCATAATGAGTATGATGAAACAGAGAGTTAAATGAATGAAATAAACAAACAGATAGAGAAAAATGAAATATTTTAATTATACATTTTAAAGACAACAGTGATATATAAGTTTACAAGTATATTCGTTTATCCTCCTTTTATCTTCTTCCGTATTCACAATATGTCACGTTGCAAATGCTTTGTGATGAATAACAGCAACATTAATATAGACACTTGTTGCTTTTTTTCAAGTACATGCTTCCAAAACATATCGAATGCTTTTCGGGAGTTTATGAATAACCTAATGTGACTAGTTTAGTTTTTCAAATATTATTATCCTATGGCATATTTTGTTCCATCATGCTTCCGTTTCAATTTAATTAACCGTTTTGGTTTTGAAAAAGAAATAGTTTATCTAGATACCATTTAAGTCTATTTTTAACCATTTTCAACATTATTGTATTTCAGTTGGATGTAAGTGCGATTCGGTGGTATGATCGAGGATCATTAGGATTTTTGGTATAAAGTTTTAGAGTGCAATGAAAAGGAATTTGCATGGAAATTATATCTCATCATTAATGGGAGTTCAATTCCAAGAGACTAGTTTTACAAATGTCTGAACATTGTATAACCTAGGTACCATGCAAAATGTCATTTGTATCATTTACCGCATCTTTCAGCTCTGGTAAGTTAAATTTTAAGTATGATCTTTGTATTTTTTAATTCTTCATTATAATAACTTCTGCTACTGAATGTACTTAGCTTGTGAGATTATTATCAATCAGTTTTTTGCTTGGTAGAGTCAATTGTGTATCGTTATCTATTACTGATATCATTTCCTTTTTTACCAGTATGTTTACGTAACATTGTAAAAACAGTAGTGCACAGATTTTGTAGTTTAGTGTCAGCGTTCAAGGAGTCACAATATGATTCAAGGTATTGTTTTAAGGCGATTCTTATTGTGTTCCTACAAGCATTCTGTATTTTCTTGTCAGTGGAATAAGGGTACAAGGGTACAAACATTTTTTTAAATATTTTTGTTAGTGTTTAACTAGGAAGTACTCACAAGCGATGTTTCTTCATTATAACTTGGTGAAATTGGCAGCCAAATCCTTCCCAATTAGCTTTGCTGTAATTCCTTTTATCATCCTTCCCAAAATAACTTTGTTTGAATTTCTTTTATCAACCGATTCTGTATATTGCTTAACCAGGTTTTTCTGTTTCATGTCGATTCTCACAGGTGGTACTAAGTTGTGAGTGTTTTTGGCCCTTATTCATGTTATTGTATTATAAAAGTTTGTATAAGTAAAATTTTACAGATTATTGAAAAACATAGGTGTGTGAGTGTGTGTGTGTGTGAAAAAAGAAATCAATAATTGATCAGATGACTTGGGCATTTGAGGTAATAGTAGCAAGTAAAAATATAAATGAAAATGAAACAAGAATAAATCTTAGTGTCCTCAAAGATGGAGACTAGATAATACTTCCTGATAGCCCGATGTCAATTATCACCAAAAAAAATGGCCAATTACGCATTGAAGTCAAATAAAATAAAACATTTAAATAAATAAATAAATAAATCATTGGATTTTTCTTCACCTTCTTTGGTCTTAGCAAAAATGATGTGTTTTAAATCTCCATAAAATACCAAGAGGCAAATTTGAGTAGTTGCCCCTTGTTCAGTAAAAATTGCCGTAGTACTGATAATCGACTGCACTTTTCGTTGTGGCACCGAATTCATAAGCTGGTAAGTAATACTTATCTATATCCAATTATTGTCATCGAGGCTTCAGAAACTACTATAACCTTATGGATGATTCGACGATTGATGTCTGGTTACCAGTGAGGCATATTGTGTTAAAATTAATTCATTAAATAAGTGTTTTTTTCTTTCCAGTAATAAGGTTGTTTTCATTAAATTTTAACTCTTTTAAAATCTGAAATAATGATAATACACATTTGAATAATTAATATTTATTTTGGACAGAAGTCAATGACTTCTTCATGATACAGGTATTTATAAATATATGTATGTACTCGAAAAATCAAATCTATATGCAACCATACAATAAGAAAAATATAGTTCAAAATTCACTTTACGTCCTTTTTCTCCTTTTGTATTCACTTTATTTTTTATTAGCGTTACAAGCACTAAAGAATACGTTTTTAAGATTACCCTTGTATTGTTTTGGGGCATGAAATAATGTTGCCCCATTCCATTTTGTTGCGCTCTATTGCGTGCTTTGGTTCTATTATTTCAAAGCCTTTGGGCATTTTGATTTCCACAAAGGTTCACACGTTCTTTTAAATTTTAATTATTAGGGCTTTAACTGGGATACACACATAATCTACATTACTTACATCTTCAATAAAAGAGGCAATAAGCCCTTCAATTTCTTCAGTGATTATATTCTGACTAGAAACTTTTATCACATTCGCAGCTGAACCATTCCCAATTGGCTTTGCTGTAATTCCTTTTATCGTTCGATTCTTTATATTGCACAAACATGTTTTATTTTAGTGTCCCGTGTTGTGTCGCGGGTATTGTTACGTTGAAAATTTGTGTTTGCCCTAATTGTATTATAAAGGGTTGCATAAGTAAAACTTTTACAGATAATTGATATATATGTGTGTGTGTGTGTGTGTGTGTGTGTGTGTGTGTGTGTGTGTGTGTGTGTGTGCTTGATGTTGTCCATTTGAAAATAGAAATCAATAATTGATTTGATGACTTTGGTATTTGAGGTAATAGTAGAAAGTAAAAATATGAATGAAAATAAAACAAGAATAAATCTGAGTTTCCTTCTCAAAGAAGGAGACTAGATAATACTTCCTGATAGCCCGATGTCAATTATCACCAAAAAAATAGCCAATTAGGAATTAAAGTCAAATGAAATAAAACATTTAAATAAATAAATAAATTATTGAATTTTTCTTCACCTTCTTTTGGCCTAGCAAAAATGATGTGTTTTAAATATCCATAAAATACCAAGAGGCAAATTTGAGTAGTTGCCCCTTGTTCAGTAAAAATTGCCGTAGTACTGATAATCGACTGCACTTCTCGTTGTGGCACCGAATTCATAAGCTGGTAAGTAATTTTTATCTGTATCCAATTATTGTCATCGAGGCTTCAGGAACTACTATAACCTTATGGTTATGATTCGAAGATTGATGTCTGGTTACCAGTGAGGCATATTGTGTTAAAATAAATTCATTAAATAAGTGTTTTTTTCTTTCCTGTAATAAGGTTGTTTTCATTAAATTTTAACTCTTTTAAAATCTGAACTTGTCATAATACACATTTGAATAATTAATATTTTATTTGAGACAGAAGTCAATGAGTTCTTCATGATATAGGTATTTATAAATATATGTATGTACTCGAAAAAATCAAATCTATATGCAACCATACAATAAGAAAAATATAGTTCAAAATTCACTTTACGTCCTTTTTCTCCTTTTGTATTCACTTTATTTTTTATTAGCGTTACAAGCACTAAAGAATACGTTTTTAAGATTACCCTTGTATTGTTTTGGGGCATGAAATAATGTTGCCCCATTCCATTTTGTTGCTCTCTATTGCGTGCTTTGGTTCTATTATTTCAAAGCCTTTGGGCATTTTGATTTCCACAAAGGTTCACACGTTCTTTTAAATTTTAATTATTAGGGCTTTAACTGGGATACACACATAATCTACATTACTTACATCTTCAATAAAAGAGGCAATAAGCCCTTCAATTTCTTCAGTGATTATATTCTGACTAGAAACTTTTATCACATTCGCAGCTGAACCATTCCCAATTGGCTTTGCTGTAATTCCTTTTTTCGTTCGATTCTTTATATTGCACAAACATGTTTTATTTTAGTGTCCCGTGTTGTGTCGCGGGTATTGTTACGTTGAAAATTTGTGTTTGCCCTAATTGTATTATAAAGGGTTGCATAAGTAAAACTTTTACAGATAATTGATATATATATGTGTGTGTGTGTGTGTGTGTGTGTGTGTGTGTGTGTGTGTGTACTTGATGTTGTCCATTTGAAAATAGAAATCAATAATTGATTTGATGACTTTGGTATTTGAGGTAATAGTAGAAAGTAAAAATATGAATGAAAATAAAACAAGAATAAATCTGAGTTTCCTTCTCAAAGAAGGAGACTAGATAATACTTCCTGATAGCCCGATGTCAATTATCACCAAAAAAATAGCCAATTAGGAATTAAAGTCAAATGAAATAAAACATTTAAATAAATAAATAAATTATTGAATTTTTCTTCACCTTCTTTTGGCCTAGCAAAAATGATGTGTTTTAAATATCCATAAAATACCAAGAGGCAAATTTGAGTAGTTGCCCCTTGTTCAGTAAAAATTGCCGTAGTACTGATAATCGACTGCACTTTTCGTTGTGGCACCGAATTCATAAGCTGGTAAGTAATTTTTATCTGTATCCAATTATTGTCATCGAGGCTTCAGGAACTACTATAACCTTATGGTTATGATTCGAAGATTGATGTCTGGTTACCAGTGAGGCATATTGTGTTAAAATAAATTCATTAAATAAGTGTTTTTTTCTTTCCTGTAATAAGGTTGTTTTCATTAAATTTTAACTCTTTTAAAATCTGAACTTGTCATAATACACATTTGAATAATTAATATTTTATTTGAGACAGAAGTCAATGAGTTCTTCATGATATAGGTATTTATAAATATATATATGTACTCGAAAAAATCAAATCTATATGCAACCATACAATAAGAAAAATATAGTTCAAAATTCACTTTACGTCCTTTTTCTCCTTTTGTATTCACTTTATTTTTTATTAGCGTTACAAGCACTAAAGAATACGTTTTTAAGATTACCATTGTATTGTTTTGGGGCATTAAATCATGTTGCCCCATTCCTTTTTGTTGCGCTCTGTTGCGTGCTTTGTTTCTATTATTTCAAAGCCTTTGGGCATTTTGATTTCCACAAAGGTTCACACGTTCTTTTAAATTTTAATTATTAGGGCTTTAACTGGGATACACACATAATCTACATTACTTACATCTTCAATAAAAGAGGCAATAAGCCCTTCAATTTCTTCAGTGATTATATTCTGACTAGAAACTTTTATCACATTCGCAGCTGAACCATTCCCAATTGGCTTTGCTGTAATTCCTTTTATCGTTCGATTCTTTATATTGCACAAACATGTTTTATTTTAGTGTCCCGTGTTGTGTCGCGGGTATTGTTACGTTGAAAATTTGTGTTTGCCCTAATTGTATTATAAAGGGTTGCATAAGTAAAACTTTTACAGATAATTGATATATATGTGTGTGTGTGTGTGTGTGTGTGTGTTTGTGTGTGTATGTACTTGATGTTGTCCATTTGAAAATAGAAATCAATAATTGATTTGATGACTTTGGTATTTGAGGTAATAATAGAAAGTAAAAATATGAATGAAAATAAAACAAGAATAAATCTGAGTTTCCTTCTCAAAGAAGGAGACTAGATAATACTTCCTGATAGCCCGATGTCAATTATCACCAAAAAAATAGCCAATTAGGAATTAAAGTCAAATGAAATAAAACATTTAAATAAATAAATAAATTATTGAATTTTTCTTCACCTTCTTTTGGCCTAGCAAAAATGATGTGTTTTAAATATCCATAAAATACCAAGAGGCAAATTTGAGTAGTTGCCCCTTGTTCAGTAAAAATTGCCGTAGTACTGATAATCGACTGCACTTTTCGTTGTGGCACCGAATTCATAAGCTGGTAAGTAATTTTTATCTGTATCCAATTATTGTCATCGAGGCTTCAGGAACTACTATAACCTTATGGTTATGATTCGAAGATTGATGTCTGGTTACCAGTGAGGCATATTGTGTTAAAATAAATTCATTAAATAAGTGTTTTTTTCTTTCCAGTAATAAGGTTGTTTTCATTAAATTTTAACTCTTTTAAAATCTGAACTTGTCATAATACACATTTGAATAATTAATATTTTATTTGAGACAGAAGTCAATGAGTTCTTCATGATATAGGTATTTATAAATATATGTATGTACTCGAAAAAATCAAATCTA